GAGAGAGAGAGAGAGACATTGCTTCATCTACGAAACACGAACTGGTGTTTTGCAGGCCAGTTCGCACGTCCTTGACACACTTACCCACATGGAATATCACGAGGCCACGTGTGACTGTGTGTGTGCATTAATGTGCATGCGCGCGTACCTACATATGACACAAGTGCATGTATTAGATTCTGTGTATCTTTCTTATATGAGCATATTGTACATATATTGTGTCGCGTTATACGGTTACATACAAATATATTTATTCGAGTGTATGTACATCACGGCAACGAAAATGCGAAATTGTGAGTGCAAGCGTTGAACGTGAAGATCCATCATGTTTTACAACAAAGTGAATATATACCTACGTGTAAATCAGTTTTTGTGTGCAAGTAATACATAAGGATGTATCTTCTTACATGGTACATGCAAGCACTTATGTACAATCATGTATAATAAATATATAATTTAGACGATCCTCTCGATGTTTGTCGTCTCCCATTTTTATTATCTTACATCTATGGAATATATGATGGAATTCGAAATGGATATCGAGCTGTGAATTATCGACGAACAATCCGAATCAGGGAGAAAAAAAAACAAAGAAATTCGGCATGGTTTTAATGGCATGGAAAATATTACATCATTCGAGCATCGAAGAACATCGAAACGAGTCTTCCGCCAGATCATCGTATTTTTTGTCTTTTTTTGTTTCGATATTTTCTTTCGAAAAATAAATGGCGAAAGAAAGAAAAAAGAAAAAAAATCGAAAAATATTAGAAAAGTTTAAAGATATTTAAGAGATATTTAATTCTTTTTTTCTATTTTCTTTTTTTTTAATTCACCGTGTTAGGCTTATTTTGAAATTCTAACGAAAAAGAAGATAACACAATTGCGCCTTTAGAGACAGAAAATTTTGACAACTTGGTCCTAAATCTTTTCTCAAACTAGTTTGTATCCCTTGTTGTATCCCTTGAAGAGTTGTACTCTTGACGCTTTCTCGTCAGATCATAAATTAAAACAGAATGTAAATATTTAGAAATATTGGTGAGAATTATTGCGTGCAATTCACAACAGGAGTTCCCAGTGACCCAGTGCCCCGATGACAATCGGACCGGCGCAAGAGATGTTTGCAGTTTCTCTTTTACTGGCAAAAACGTCGGAATTGTCACGTAGGTATATACTTTTGATGGCGCCTGTAAAAGTTTGCCCTTTGAATCTGTGTCGTAAGAAAAATGGGCAGTGGACAGCGTTAAAATTTTTATTTTCTGGCGTTCCCAAAAATTGAATCGAGCTTCATGAAAAACGCTTATCAATAAAAAAAAAAAAAAAAGACTTCCGCTTGTTCCTGAAATTCGTACGTTTGATCTGTTATTAACTTAAATAATAAGATGAGAGGTCAAAGAACTAGCAGAAAATTTCAAAAAATAAATACCAATGTTCATGTTTTGGAGGAAATATTTAAAAATTTAAATCGAAATAGAAATTATAATAATAAAATAATTTACACGATTTATTTCATTGCATTGTATATATATTTTCGACAACGCATTTCAATTTTATTTCTTCTTTTATATAGTGTATTATAATATTTTATAATATAATTTCAAATTGTACGCGGTGATAAATAAATATCTGTTCGATTGTTACTTTTAAAATGGTTCCGTCGAGTTATCGCGAAAACGGTTTGCGAATGACGACAATAGATTAAAATTATTATTACTTTGTTATTATCGTTACGCTAAATATACTAACAATAAATAATTATTCTCTAATTATTCGAATAAAACAAATTTCCATACGCTCGTTTCATAGTTTTTCATCAGTCTAACTAATAATTATCCTACATTTTTTATCACTCTAATAACTATCCTACATTTTCATCCCTATTAACGAAGGATTTAAATTTAAATTAAATACGAGATTTCTTGTACTCCGTTTCATGAATAGTTTGTCTTACGATCTTATCAAATTATGAACACTATCGTAATATCATATCTTGAGCCACACTGATCATTTCGAACGATTTAAACGCTTGAAAATTTTGCATTTTATCATCGCATTAACAGTATAAGTCTTTGTTCGCGTGTAAATTTGCACATGTACAACTTTACAAAGACACGATTGTTCGAACAATGTCTCGACGAAATGTGAAAGTTCGCGTTCTTTGCGATCGATAAAGGTATTGATTGCCGTTTATTATGCTTTGTTAACAAGCAAATCATATTTATGTATTTAGTCCATTGCGAGTTTGGTCCGTGAGTTACTATGCACGCAAATTATGTATCTATCCCCCATATCGGGCATTGATTGCGCACCTTGAGCTGCAACCCGGCGGTTTTTTTTTTTTATCACCGAGATCACGATTAAGAAAAGCCAAGGATATCAGCGACCTTGACCGAAAAATAGTTCGATGTGATTAAAAATTCATGATTCATGCGGAACAAGCATACCATTACGGCGAAAGCAATCTTTCGTCTTATTCAAAAATTGATGATTGTACGCGTGAGTAAATCTTATATTCCTGTAGGAATATTGATTGGAATGGGATAACGCTCAAGGTTAAAAATCGAATCGAATATGTGCATAAGATCGGTTTTACGAGAGATAAAATCAATAATAATGATTGGAGACTGTAATGATTGACAATTTCTTCGGGAAAATAATTCAAACTAAATGGGGTTAAAACTAGATGTATAAGAACTTGTACAAATATACACAGATATGTATATATATTTATACATAATTTATCATTTTATATATCCATGATTTTTATATATATAAAATATCATTTACATATAATAAATTCACACGATTAAAGATATATTAAATATCTCGAATTAATTGTGCGAATGAAACCCAATGATTTTTAAATTTTTAAAATTTGATGTTATATTATTACAATCTTCGATAGGTTTATACTTTTAACAGGATCTTGTAATTGTTTTAAATTAAGATATTAAGATAATCTTATTTTAATTTAAATTTTAATTTTTAAAATTAAATTAAATTATTAAATTATTAAGATATATATAATTAAATTATTAAGATATATGTATATACATATCGATATAATCTAAAATCTTAAATATATTTAAATATCTAATTTGAAAAAAAAATAATTTGTAAAATTTGTATAATCTAAAATCTTAAATATATTTAAATATCTAATTTGAAAAAAAAATAATTTGTAAAATTTATCAAATAAATAAAATACGTTATCACCGGAAATATTCATACCGACAGAACAGCATGCAGAGACATTTAATCATAATGGCGAGTGTGAGATGCGCGTGCGTCGTGAACATGCATATCCCTACGAGCCAATTCCGCCAATGGGCATCTTGACTAAATAAACACTGAAGTTCGCATTTAATCGTCCTATTTATATCATGTACAGAAAACGAGATTAAGCTTTGATAATAATTTGTCGGTTCAAGAACCGCAGAGAAGTATGAACGCTAAATATTCTTTTTTTTTTTTCTTTTTCTCCATAATTGGATAAATAGTATTAGTATATACGCTTTATCTTTGATTAATTTTAACAGTAGCCAACAACCAACATTAGTCATGGATCTTCAGTGAAAAGTGGCTCCGCTTTTACTTTCTACGATAACTTTCGTTGGCAATGGTACTAGTTACGGCTGTTACGTTAAACGATTACGAGAGTGAAAGAGACGGGAAGTCGTTTCACATTCGGTTAATTCGCGGTTATTGTCGAAGTACGCCAACTTTCTATTCATCTCTCTCCGATACGTTTTTCCTTGTTCTTTACTTCTACTACAGTCTCTCTCTCTCTCTCTCTC